CCCTTCCCTCCCCCAAAAGACCTATCAGAATTACAACCTATCATTACATATGGTTACTTATCTCATCCCTTCTTTTCTTGTGATGTCTATATTTCATTAAACCCTCATAGCCTAGGAGTCTAATCCTAGCTCGAAGTCTTTACTCATTCTGTTACATCTCGAACCTCGATCGCGCTTTCACCGATCTTGTCTATCCAAAACGGATACAACCCAAAGAACCCTCACAGTCTATTGAGCAGAATGGTAACCCTTGATCAGACGGTTTGTAACACGCCCAACATCGACGTGGCGCGGAATGGCCCAGTCATCCCAATCCGTCCTTTTCTTCAGCTGGGGTTTGGCCGCGGGGTGGGGGTGGCGTGCCATCGGGGGGACTGGCGCAACTATGTCGAGAACACGCTGGAGGCGGTGGAGAGCTGCATCGCGATGGGGGCCGATCTCGTCGAGGTCGACGTATGGCGCACGAAGGACGGGCACCTCATCGTGATGCACGACGAGATGCTGGATCGCACGAGCAATGGGAAGGGGCGGATTGGTGAGCACACCTTGGCCGAGATTCGCGCGCTGCGCCTGAAGGACGGGCTGGGGAATATGACCGACTTCACCATCCCCACCGTTGAGGAGGTGCTGCTGCTCGCGAAGGACCGTATCCTCGTTAATCTGGACAAGGCGGATGTGTACCTCGCTGAGGTGTATGAACTACTGGAAAAGACAGGAATGATATCACAGACGATTCTTAAATCCGAGTCCACTTACCAACAAATGATTGATAAATGGGGGGACATAATGGAGAGGGTCGTCTTCATGCCGGTCTTCAACCTGACCCAGAAAACAACTCTGAAGGAGTTGCAGAACCTCTTCACACCACACCATCAGCTGTACGAAATCAATTTCGAGAAGGAAGACCTAGAGAAGCTTCTCTTTATCAAAAAAATGGCTATTCAGACGGGGTGTACACTCTGGATCAACACGATTTGGCCCACCATTTGTGGTGGCCATAGCGATGATCGTGCCCTCAAAGACCGGGACGCGGCATGGGGTTTTGTGATCGACGTCCTCGGGGCAGGTATCCTGCAGACGGATCGCCCGCAGATGATGTTAAATTACCTGAAAAGCCGTGGAGACCACTAATTTTGGGTGTTGGAAACCCTCTGCTTGGTTATACCTTTAAATATTTGTCTTTTACCTCTTTTGCTTTTCCATTTGTTTAATCATATTTGAATATTTATTACCCCTATCATTTGGAAGGTTATGAACAAAAAATTCAAAATGAAGCAAATACTTACCTCGCAAATATAGTTTCCATTTTTTTTTCTAAATTCCTTTACCTTTTCGTTAAATTACGTTTCCTAATAATTTACTTGTGTCCATAAGATTACAACTGAAAAGAAGGTGGAGTACAAGAATCATCGTTCTTTCATCTCACTTCTCTTTCATTTTATAGATTTATTGCGAATATGTGATCTTTTTTTTACGCCATGTATATACACAAGGCACGTTTAATTACTGACTTCGTCAGTTGTAAGGGTGAAAAAGACTTTAAAGGAATCAGTTTTGAATTATTGTTTTCAATTTTCATTAGTTTCCAATTTTTATGTTTAATAATTTACCTCAAATTCACGTTATTAATTACTTTAAACTTTCTCTTATTCTTTTATACTTTCCTAAACATTGAATATTTATGTTTTATTGGACACACTTCGTATGTTTTTCCGAGATTCATATCTAGATTAAAACATTTTTTCCCCTGAATTTGAAGGCGTATATATTTTTGATGGGGATACTGATGAAATCAAATGTTGTGAAAAAAAAATCTTATTGAATGTTTTTTTATCTCACCATTCACGTATTTTGTGTTTATGTAAGAAATCGTACTTTAGAAAGAACGGGATATTTTACAATCAACGTATGTTGTGGTTTTCTTATCAAAAGACATACTTGTATACGCACCTCCATTATCTGCTTAAATGAAATTAAAGTTCATGTGCGTATTTATTCAAGAAATTACTCTTTGCAGTTATTGCAATGAAATTTCTAGCAAGTTAGGGAAGAGACATTGCTGCTACCAAGTAGCGAAACGCCCCCAAAAGGATTTACACTTGCAGATCTCTTCACACAATGCCATCTTTCAATGGTAGACATTTTTTTATTGTTATTTTCGTTTACAAATGCATCCGATATCAAGGAAAAGCCCCATTTTCACCTTTTTATGGACTTCGAATGCACATGTATATGAATCTAAATATTAATATCCATATAATATACTTATATATAAATATATATATGGATATTTTGTTCCATATTTTTATCAATATGCACTTATTATGATATGCCTATATATGCATATTATGAGTGTGTATCAAGTGCAATATATATATATATATATAAAGGTTTCCAATACCTAATTCAATACCCTGGGAACATAGTTAATAACTAATGTTGATCCTAAGACTAGCATTTATAAATTTGGTTTCAATATAGTTGCTTTTTTTTGTGAAATTTGAATTAATTGAACGAGAAGATAATATTTGCTTTGGTGTCGTATTAACTTTATGGGTTCTCATTTTCTAATTTTACACTTGATAGCAAAGAGTAGAGTGTATATTTTTATTTTTTTACAACGAAAGGGGCAAAAATATTGCTTGATATATGAACCCTGAGTATGAAAAATTTGTGTAAAGATATAGAAAATTTTCTTTTTCAATTAGCATCTAGGGAAACTAGTGAAGGATTTCATTCAGATTAAATTGAGGATTTATTTTCTTTTCCAGAAGTCACAATACATAAAATTTTTGAGGATTGAATAAATGACTTTTTAAAAAATATTTTAATATTTTTCATTTGTAGGAGTTTGTTTTTACATTTGATTATGTTTTATTTATTAATTATTGTTCATAAGTTGTTAAAGGGAAATTCGATTTCTTATTAATTTCAAAAGATTATTCATTTATTATTTTGTCCTTTTTCTTTTTCTTCTCCCAATGGTTAGTCAATTCGTGGGGAGCATTTTCTGCGATTTGACTCGACATAGGAGAACCCATGCTTCTTTTTTTTTTCTCTATACTTTGGATGTTTTAGACTAGCTTCTGCTGCTCATATGATGAGATTTACCAGTGCTGAGGATATTGGGATGAGGACTCTTGACATATTTCTTAACAATACGGAAGAAGGGCCAGATGAATTTGTAAGTCAATTCACTACATTAACAAATGCAAAAAAGGCTTCTTTAGTTGACGAAATTCTGCGCACGAGTGCACTCAGGGATGGTTGTGAGGATAAAGGTAGCGGTACTGCGGACAGTGGTGGTGTTCCAATGGTGAACACCGAGAATATTTCAAATGAATTGCAGAATCCAAAAGAACGCAACGTCTTTTTGACGGCGAACTTCTTGAATATGCCTCGTCCTAGCGATGCGGAGGCCATCCAGACGTCGGTCAGCTGTACGAATGATATATGTGATAGCGTCATCACGGCCGGCAACCAGTCAGTAGTGAATAATAACATCGAGTGCATCGACCTCGATGAGTTTGAAGAGGTCAACGCTGGAAATCTTTCCCTGTGTTTCTCAAACACGGCCGACGTGATCTTTCCGACAAAATTTGACAATTTCTTCACCAACACCAATTCTGCCGACATGGATAATCGAGCCGCTCGCACGGAGTTGGTGGTGCCAACGATGTGGAGCAAATCTTCACTGTCATCTTTGCCATCTTTGGATGACTTTCTTAGCGTGGAAGATAAGGAAAAGGTCTTCAGGGCTCCTTCCGAATCTCAAACTGGCTTGCGTACTTTAGCTCTGGAGTCGTTATCTATCAATGGAAAATGCCGCAGAAAGTCTTTAACCGGTGTTGAATCAGATGACACTTCTTCGAATTTGCAGAACAACTGTATCTCGCGATCCGAGGGCGACATGGACTTTGATCTTTTCTTTCCTGGATTGACTAAAGACGAGCACTGCATGCCGAACCATGCGGACGGGGTAAAAAAGATTGAAAATGAAGATACTTTGCCATGTTTGTTGTCAGACAGGTGGTTTGGAATGCTAAAAGACGTTATCGTTGAACCTGATGACTGCGTGCATCCATTTGTGTTGAGTGTGGATTTAGAGTATAATGGGGATTCACTTCCCAAAGCAGTTTGAACGGGAAAAAGTTTTCTGACTACGTGAATGTTTATTAATAGCGAAATTTGTATATTTATATTATCATTATTGCTATTCCTTTTATTAAATTTGAATTATCTGTATTCACCATCTTTTTGTCGATTTTCTATGGCTTCTACGTTTTGATAAAGTAGATCATAGTATTCTTACCCTGTTTGCAGTATAGCATGTAAGGACAACTGGTTAAGTGTTATCAAACTAGCACGAAACCAATTTTAACCGAATCTTACCATTGGATGGCTGCATCAAGCAGCGAGGTTCTTATTAAAATATGTCTCTTTACTCCTGCAAATGCTCCTTCCCTTCTATGAAGGTTGAAGCTGTCACAAATTCTCCCTCAGCAAAGGATATATATATATATATATATGAAAATATAATTTTGTGAAACCCATTCTTTAATTGAATATATCTATATGTGTAAATGCTCTTTCAAGAATTGAAACCCTTTTTATTTCTTAATTGACCACTTTCTTGTAAGTACGAACACAAGGTTTTTTACCCCTCGTGTATTAAACCATCAAATGAGGAACAAAGAGATACATTATACAAAAAATGATCATTGGTTGGGTGTCCAATTCTATCAGGGCTTACTCCCAGCAAAAGACGGTATTACAGCGCGGTCCTATGTTATACTAGCCAATGAAAATGGAGACGGCCAGACGCATGAGGAGGAGACTTCGTTAGATGACAAGATTATTTATTCGTTCGATCACACACCGAACACTGCGCTGGACTCCGGACTAAACGATTCGGATGAAATTTTCTTCAAGAAGGCTAGTTCGCCCTCTGATAGGATTNC